TGTATTTTGTGGAGTCTGAGCTGCTGCACTGCCACAGCAAAGGGCTGCAGCAGCAGTTTGTTGCTGTTGCTGCTGAGGAGACAGAAGGAGACAGAATAGATAGAGTGATGGAGGTGTTGGGGGGCCCCCTTAGGGGCCTCAAAGCTCTTGTCTTTTGTAATACAGCAGCAACAGCAAAAAGAGTTGCTGAGGGACTGCAGCAGAGACTCCAGCAGCAGCAGCAGCAGCAGCAGCAGCAGCAGCAGCAGCAGCAGCAGCAAGTGTTTTTGTTTACAGCTCAGCTTCCCCCATTGACTCGCGCGAAGGTGCTGAAGGATTTTTCTGCTGCAGCAGCAGCAGCACCGCTGCAGCAGCAGCAGCTCCCTCTCTCCTCCTCCCCCCCCCCGTCACAACCACCGCCAGCAGCAGCAGCAACTGCAGCAGCAGCAGCAGCAGTGCTGGTGTGTACAGATGCAGCAGCAAGAGGGCTTCATATAGAAGGGCTTCAGGGTGTTATACAATACGACTTTGCTTTGTCTGCTGTCTCTCATCTGCACCGTGTGGGGCGTGTAGCTCGCGCGGGGAGACAGGGGACAGCTGTCTCCTTTTATCTCCCTCATCAGCAGCAGCTAGTTGATGCTATTTGCGGCAACAAACAGCAGCAGCAGCAGCAGCAGCAGCAGCAGCAGCAGCAGCAGCAGCAGCAGCAGCAGGAAAGGCGCTCGGTTGCTGCGGCGTTCAGCCGCAAAAGGTCCTTCAGCAAAAAAATTAGGAAACAGGCTGCTGCTGCAGCAGCTGCAGCTGCAGCAGCAGCAGCAGCAGCAGCAGCAGCAGCAGGAACTGCAGCAGATGCTGCTGCTGCTGCTGATGCTGATGCTGCTGTTCCTTCTGCTGCTGCTGCTGCGCAGTGAGAAAGTGGTGCCGCTGTAGTTATCTTTTTCTGTTTTTGTTTTTGTCTCCTCTTTATATATCTCTGTCTCCTTTTGTCTCCTTTCTCTCTGTCTCTGTTTTTGTCTCCTTTCTTTCTGTCTCTCTCTGTCTCCTTTCTCTGTCTCTTTGTCTATTGTCTCTATTTCTTTGTCTCCTCTCTCTGTCTCTGTTTGTCTCCTTTATCTGTCTCTTTTTGTCTCCTGTCTCTGTCTCTCTGTCTGTCTATCCCTCCGTCTCCTCTCTCTGTCTCCTCTTTCTGTCTCCTCTATTTGTCTCTATCTGTCTCCTCTCTCTGTCTGTATCTCCCTGTCTCCTGTCTCTGCCTCTATCTGTCTCCTGTCTCTGTCTCTCTCTGTCTCCTGTCTCTGTCTCTCTCTGTCTCCTGTCTCTCTTTTGTCTCTGTCTCTGTATCTCTCTGTCTCCCGTCTCTGTCTCCTCTATCTGTCTCCTCTTTCTGTCTCCTCTATCTGTCTCTCTCTGTCTCCTGTCTCTCTTTTGTCTCTGGCCGCAGCATTGCTGGCTTCACACGAAAGACCCTCTGTTTTATTAAATAGCCGTCTCCCTAGGGTTTAGGGTTTAGGGTTTGGGGTTTAGGGTTTAGGGTTTAGGGTTAGGGCTGTATCTGCACTCTTTTGCTGCACTCGTTATCTATGGAGCTATCTACACAGAGCAGTAGCAGCAGCAGCAGCAGCACAGGTAGCAGCAGCAGCTGCTGCAACAGCAGCAGCAGCAGCAGCAGCAGCATCTGCAACAGCAGCAACAGCAGCACTACTAGCATATACAGTACTAGCAGCAGCAGCACCAAAAGATATAAACTAGGCACTGTGCCCCTAGCGGCCTCTTCTCCTCCTCACCAGCAGCAGCAGCAGCAGCAGCAGCAACAGCAACAGCAGCAGCAGCAACAGCAGCAGCAGCAGCAGCAGCAGCAAAACCCAGACAATATATTAACTAAGAGACAATAGACTTAAGACAGAAACGCAGCACTCTCCTTTCTAGACAGAACCGAGGCCCTACCACTGGGGGCTCTTACAGGGGGGCCCCCCTCTAGCTGCCTAGGAGACTGCAGGGTACGGGAGCTGGATCGCTGTATGTGAACAGC